ACTTAGCCACCTGATCTTATCCCGTCAATTACCACTATTTCAGTAATTAATACTAAACATTAATCTAAAATATTTTAACGGTTTTGATTCATACAAGGTATCTGAATTAAAACTATACCCAACGTACTTTAGAAAGTCCCAATTACTCTGTGCTCTCTCTTCGAGGGAAAAAAATGCTCTCAAATTCGGATTAGGGTTTGCAATTCTGACGATGGCGGTCGTCGCTGACGGAGCCTCATCGGGCACCGTTGGTGGTGGCCGATCGTAAGCTTCGCTCTTCGGCTCCTCTAAGGATACTAGGCTGGAGTTCTTTGAGCCTGAGTTGATTAATGGATCTATCCGAATTCCGAATTCGGTGATGGATGAGGGTTCTCGACAGTGGGAAAATAGTTTGGTTAATCAATTTCTGATATCTCCGTCGTCGCTGGCAACTCTGTAGTTCTGGACAAACTGGTTATGGGGTAGAGAGGGAGAAGTGCAGGTTTCTTGGCTAGAGGATCGCCTAGTTTTGTTCAAGTTTCCGTCGAAGGCAGTGTGCAATTGGGTTTTTAAAGGAGGACCGTGGCACTATCGCAATAATCTTCTGTGTGTTCGTCGGTGGGTCCCTAGCATCCGGGCTTTGGAAATTGACAACACGACTATACCGATTTGGGTGAAACTCTCAGGACTTCCTGCTGAGCTCTCTTCAAAGGAAGGTTTGGGTTGTGTAGCTAGCGAAATTGGAAAGCCTCTTTGTATGGATCAACCAACAACACAGAAGACGAGGGTGGGATGTGCTAAAATCTGTGTCGAGGTCATTGCTAAGAAGAAACTTGTTGACAGAATTAGCATTACTCCGGATGATATGAGTGAAATGTATATCGAGGTTGAGTATTGTCAATTGCCTCCCTGTTGTAATTCCTGTGGACTCTTTGGTTATGACTGTTTGAAGCCTAAAGGAACCACGAAGAAGATTTGGAGGAAAAAGGAAGTTCGTGTTGAGAAGATTCAACTTGAGATAGAGGGAAAGGTTACACTGCAGGAGACTAGTCTGCCTGAATCTGAACAACCTCTTGTTTTCGTTGCGGACACTCCTCTTGTCACACCAAGTGCGTTACCTTCTCAGGAAGAATTTAGCAAAGTCATCAATGGTGCTAAGAAGCCTCAAATTTGGAAAACAACATATGTGGTTAGTCACTCTAATTCTTTTGAGATCCTTTGTTCTAAAGAGGTGCAGTTACAGTTTCCCCTGCTCAGGAGGGAGGGTCTTCGTAGTCAAAAGGGAGCTAACAAGGCTCCGCCAACTAAATGACAGTTTTAGCTTGGAATACAAGAGGATTTAATTCCTCTCCCAAGCATGAGTCCATGCTTGAGTATATAAGTAGATATAAAATAAAGGTGTTTGCATTACTGGAAACGCGAATAAAAGCAGACAAAGTAGAGAAAATTAAAGAGAAGTTCAGGGGATTTACAATTGAAGATAACTATGAGTTCGGTACATTGGGTAGAGTGTGGTTGGCATGGAAGGAGGACATCAATCTTCGAGTCTTGACTACTGATGTGAATTTTATCCATGCTCTAGTTTCCATCTCAACTCAGGAACAATTCTTTATGACGGCAGTCTATGCATCGAATGATGAGACAGAGAGAGCAGCAACATATACAAGATTGAGTAAATGGAAAGTCAAGGGTTTTCCTTGGCTGGTTTGTGGTGATTTTAATGCGATTGTTAACCCGCTTGAGCCATCAAATGAAGTTTCAGTTACTTCTAGTATGACTACCTTTCGAGAATGGTTAAGAGACATGAACCTAGTTGATCACCAGGCATCAGACACCTTCTTTACTTGGATAAATCAGTAGAGGGCTAATCCAATAGCGCGAAAGCTGGAACGTATTATGGTAAATGAAGACTGGCTGGATAGGCTGTCAGACTGTGTGGCAGGATTCCTCCCTCCATCATTTTCTGATCATAGTGGGATGCTTATTAGACCCTGCATTCATAGGAAAAGTTTCCCAAAACCTTTCAGGTTTTATGACATGTGGACTCTGCACCCTTCTTATGAGAGAATTCTACATGAAGTTTGGAGTCAAAGGTTTTCAGGAACAACACTGAGGACAATCAAGCAGAAATTCAGCATGCTAAAACTGGAACTTAAAAAACTTAATAAAGAGCACTTCTCTGACATTACAGGGAGAGTTAAGGAAGCTAGCTCCAGCCTTAAAGAAGCAAAGATTCAAGCTCTTGAGAATCCTTTGCTATCACTTTCGATAGAGTTCATGAACTTACTAGTGAGCTGAGTAGACTGAAGCTGGCGGAGGAGAGCTTTTACAAACAGAAGTCTCGTATCAGTGAAGATAAGACAAGCTCGAAAGCAATTAAGGAAGCCGGTTAGAGATTTTGGAACAGAGATTACTGATGAGGAAGAGATAGCATAAGACGCAGTCACATTCTATCATAAGCTTTATGGAGTGGTCAACACAATAGTGCAACCGGATGTAATGTCATTGCTACTTATATCAAGAAGTACATCGGCGTTTCTAATCAAGTCAAGCTCTGCAGAGGTAGTCAATGAAGAAATTTGTTTGGCTTTATTTGTTATGGATCCATCAAAGGCACCTGGCCCTGATGGATGACCGTGAGTTTTTATCAGAAGCATTAGGGGCTGATTGGCGAGGATATCTGTGCTGGAATTAAAGAGTTCTACAGAACTAAGCAACTACGAAAAGGTATTAATACAACCTCTCTCACCTTAGCACCTAAGATACCAAATGCAGATAAACTAGCTGCCTTTCGACCTATTGCGTGCATTAATGTACTGTACAAGACAATTGCTAAGGTTCTAGCTAACATAATATAGATTGCTTTGCCTGAGGTGATAAGTAGGAATCAATCGGCCTTTATCAAAGGGAGAAGTATTTTAGATAATATCTTGATGGCTCAAGAGATTGTGCAAAACTACTCGAAAAAATCATTGCTTCTCGTTGTGCCATTAAGATTGATTTGCATAAGGCGTTTGATTTAGTGAACTGGGAATACCTATTCTGTGTGATATCACTTATGCATTTCCCAACTGAATTTATTGATTGGATTTGGATTTGTCTTAGCCCTGCACATTTAAGCATTAGCCTATATGGTTCATTATTTGGCTTTTTTCAAGCTCGGAAAGGGGTTAGGCAGGGAGATCCCCTCTCCCCCTATCTCTTTGTCATTGCACTTGAACCTCTTTCTGGTATGTTGGATAGTGCTGCACAGGCAAAGCAGATTCCATATCATCCTCAGTGTCGATCAATAGATCTCGCTCACCTTTGTTTTGCTGATGATCTATTGATCTTCACTGAGGGATCTGTAGTGGCACTGCTTAAGATTCGAAAGATTTTGAATGATTTCAGCTTATTATCAGGCCTGAGTTGTAATCCAAAGAAGTGAGAATTATTTCTTGGGGGTACAACTATTCAATTTAAAGATAATGCTTTCTCTCTTTCTGATTTTGCGGAGGGTAAACTACATGTTCGTTACCTTGGCCTCCACTAGTTGCTGGCCAGCTTTCTAGCAGAGAATGTGCAGCCCTAGTGGATAAGATCACTGCTAGAATTAGATCATGGCATGCTACTAAACTTTCATTTGCGGCCAAGCTCTAATTGATATCCTCTGTACTCTACTCTCCTGTTCAGTTCTGGGTGAATATTTTTATTCTGCCAAAGAAGGTCTTGGATCAGATTCATAAAATTTGCTCGGATTTTCTTTGGTTTGGAGAGGGCACAGGCCGTGCAAAAGTGGTCTGGGATACTATTGTCGTCCCTAAGAAGGAGGGAGGGATGGGACTGAAGGATTTAGGCAGTTGGAATGTCGCTTGTGTTGCTCGTCTTTTATGGCTTCTATTGATGCAGAGTGGGAACTTTTGGGTAGCGTGGATCTAAAGATATAGGCTGAGGGGGAGGTCAATTTGGGACATGCCTTCTTCTCAAACTGGATCGTGGATATGGCAAAAGCTTTTGGCTATTCGCAGCTGGTTCCAATTCAGGTTGTCAACTAATGCAGCTGATGAGGTAACTTGGGAAGGAAAATTGATGAAACGGTTCTCTGTCCAGCAGATTTGGAATTCAATCATGCCTAAAAATCTCAAAGTTGAAAGGTGGAAAGTGATATGGAATAAAGTTGTGATACCGAAGAATAGAGTTATTATGTGGTTAATAATTTAGAACATAATTACTACTCTTGACAAGTTGAAGCAGTGGGAAAAAGTGAATGATGCGTAATGTGTTCTGTGTGGGATTGAAGAGGAAAGTAGGACAGATCTTTTCTACAAATGTACTTTTTCTCTGCAGGTTTTTGCAGCCATCTTTGGCTCAAGTTTCTGGCCTAGATCGTGGGAAAATTTACTCCAGTGCATAAGTAGAATAACAAGGAATGGAGTCAAAGGTCTTGTGCAGGGTGCTGTTTGGTGCAAGTGCCTTAGCGTCGTTTGGAAGGAACGCTGCACTCGTATATATCAAGGCAGCAAAAAAGAGTCTAGGTTGTTAGTGCAGCAGTTAATTGAAGATTTTAATTACTATGCTATGGGAAACTTTGCTTTCCTTGCAGAAGTTAGGTTGATACCTCATTTTAGCCGTCTTTTGACCTTTTGTTAGATGGCTTAGTTGTTCTGTCTTAACCTTGTATACGGAATAGTGGAGCAATTTTTGCGTGTCCTGGTCTTCCAGGCGGTGATTAATGAAAAATCAATAATTACCGGGGGAAAAAGGTCTCAATTACTAATACCCCAAATAACATACACAAGTAATTCCCAAACTATTAGAATGGCTGGATTCACATAACATTATTCTATTTCCATTTTCCTCAACCATCCTGATGATCGGTTTTCGTTTCATCGACGAAACAGTTTGTATCACTCCAAGTTACATTCACGATCACTACTCAAAACAAAGAAGAACGCAAAAAATAGAAGGAATAAAAAAACACATCCAACTTGCAACAATGTATAACTATGGGTTATACAATAAAGAACTGGGGGTTTTACTAGTTAGCCAAGATATAAATGGACCTGAAAGGTCAGCAAGAAAACGCAGATGAGAGCAAAATAGAGAAGGGAGTGAAGCAAAATGGCGCCGCCGCTGGCCTGGAAGTTGCCGAACTCGATGCAGCGGTGGCGACCTGGCACCTGAAACAGCAACCCCGACGTTAGGAGAACGAAAAGCACCATTGCCACGAAAACCAGGCCCCAATCCGACATCGTTTCTGAGGTTAATATAATAGCTTCCCTTTGTCTTGCCTCTGATTACATACGTATTAGACTCAATTTGTATCCTGTAATGCAAATGGAGGACGTTCTTATAATATAGCTAGAGAGAGATAAGACAGTGTAAGATTAGAAGGGAACGTGAGGGGCTTTAGGCAGAATGTGTCGTGATGAATCAAACCACGTTGAAGGTTGTACTCTTGCTCTATTGGGGAGCTGGCCAAAAAAGTGTCTTATCCCCTCGCAAAATGAAGAAATTGCAACACACTTCTTGAAGCCAGTCTTTTTTGTTCTTTTACACTTAGCTTTCCTTATTTCAGTCAGGTTCGTTGTGATGTCACTTTCATTTGGGTATATTGTTATCTTGTTAAATAGTCATGATGACGTTGACTCGTTTCGAATACCACAATAAAAATCTCAATTAAGGCCCAAGTATAAACCTTAACTGGGTACAGTATAGGGCAAGTATGTTTAAATATCGACCCGAGCTGGTTCATGTACCCCTACTTCGATTGTTTGTAAAATTATCTAGCGGTTGATTTTTGGTGAAAACTACAATCTAAAGCTAAAAAGTTTGCAAAAGTGAATGGATTTAACACTAATTGAGAAGGCTTCACTCGGGTGTTGCTCCCCCTAGCTAACAATTACGACTTGGTGGATCGAATGGCGTGTGTGGTGAGGGGGTTGTAAATCATAGGGAAGTGCAACAAGTTTCCAAGCGCCACTCTCTTAATCTCTAGGTTGAGGGAAAGGGATGTGATCCAAGCCACCAACGTGACTCTCTCGACCTATTGACTAAGGGTTGGTTAGACTTCACCCTCGAATCGGAGTTCGGACGGCCACCCACAACCAAACCCTAGGTGCTAATAGAAAATAGGAGGTTTTCCCTGCATTAACTTAACTAGGAGACAATGAATTGTCTAAGAAAACCCAACATTCAAGCCTCTTTCAAAGAATGGAAGGGGATTTTTCTCTCTACCTCGGTTAGAATGACAACTAGATTGATAGACTTTCACAAACACAATCGTTCATTGACACGCTACGACACAACACCTAACAATGTCCAAGTGTAACCAATGAAAGGAACTGCAGTATAGTGGAGCAAGTAATAAATATCGAATCCTCGGGTCTCTAGATGTACTATTACTCAGCTTCAGTTCATTATCTAGCAAATCAGATTAAGGATTGATTAACTAAACTACTCTACTAACTAAACTAAGTAAAACTACTAATTACAGTTTGGGAACTCACTTAGGTATGATTCCCCCTAGCCACTAGCCAGATTAATGATTGATGATCTCTAACCTATTTCACTTTCATTCACAATGCGGAGAATCCTTAACTAGACCTTGAATCTCGACTAAAGGATCAAGGCCCTCTTGAGTCGATTGCCTAGAGGGACGTATCCTTCTCTAGAACAGCTGATCAAGGTGTTCTGAACTAGACTCCCTCTATCGAAAGAGGTTCTCAATCGATACAAAGCAGTGAATAAACCCTCGACTAAAGCAATCGATCCAATACTATCAATCTATGGTGCTCTATTGACCTAATCAGGTATTCGCTCTCATAGGATCAAAGCAGAATCAATAATCTCGACTAAAGCCGAATTGAATCATGAAAACGTGCATAGATTGAATATGAACTCAAGATTATCAAGTAGGAGTACTCATACAATCATCCAATCAAACAAACATAGCTAGGGTTCCTCAAAACCTAAGTGAAGGGAAGTTACTCCATAGAGAAGAGAGAAACTACAGTAATAATCTTCATATGATCAGTCTTCAAGTCCGAGCTTGTTCCTCGAGCTTCCAAGGTGAAGAAATCCTCCAATTCCACTCCAAGAATGCCCTCAAATCGCCCTCTCTCTCTCTCTCTTTGGTTCGTCCCTTGGGTGTTTGGGATCCAAAACCCAGCTCTCCCTCTCCAAAAATCCCAAAACAGCTTTTATACCCGCTGAAACTCGCACCCCCTACTTGTACGTCCGTGCAAATTGAGGTTTTGGCCGTGCAAACCCCCTGGAAAACCCACACGGCCGTTCAGAATTTCACACGGCCGTGCACAATTTCCAGCATGCACTCCTAAGCTTCGTTGATCTCGTTTGAGCTCGTTTGACCTCCGATTCAGGGGGCGTTTGATCCCAGATACTCGTAGTCTTGTCCTCTTTCTTTTCATAAAAAGATTTCATGATTCTTTTTCAATAAAATGAGGTATAAATCCATTCTTTATCAAGTCATTCCCGAGTTTCTCACCCTGAGTCGCCAATTGATCTCCTATTGACTTGAAACTTGCGCCTAGGCTTCACTTTACATGCTAGGACCTGAAATGTGACAAAGGAACACAACCTAGCGTAAAATATTCCAAGAAATAAAAAATTCAAGCCAAAATGATCAAGAAACGAGGGTGCAAACATGTGCAAATACGACGTTATCATTCATGAATAATACCTCCACATTCACATTAAACAAAACCACATACAAATCATTCAATCCACACAAGCATTCACATAATAGTAGCTAGGGTTTACAAACACCCAATTGAAAGAAGGGACTACTTCATGCTAGGAGAAAGGAAAACACAAGAGAGAAGAAGGAAAACCATCAAAGAGATGCTAGCCTTGATCCTTGTGTTGAAGAGATCCTCATTTGGGGGAGGAATTCCCAAATCCTTATTTGAAGATGAAACCCTAGCTTCTCCTCTTCTTTGGTTCTTCACTTTCTCACTCTAGAAATCTGAAGAAGTAGAAGAAGTTTATCACACTAGGTCTCTCTCCCTTTTCTCCTTTGGCTCAACATAATTTATATACCCAGATCGGGCTTTAGTACACGGCCGTGAACTGCAAGCTGGGACCGTGATCTCAAGTCGAAACGCGCCGCATCACTAATACCAGTTTATGGGCAATGACCCGAGTTCACGGTCTTACGATCGTGAACAAACTTGTGTCCAGTGAAAGCTATTTGTGCTCTGGATGCCTGGCTGTTCACGGGTAGCACCTCCAGTTTGCAGTCGTAGTGACCGTGAACACACGGCCAAAACCGTGATCTGGTGCTGCTTCCACCGGTTGACTTGATTTTTTGCCCTTTCGTCCAACTTTAGACTCCGTGGATGGTTCCACCTGCCAAAGTCTGAAAAATTCCAAAATAAGGCAAAACCCGACGTAAAACCAAACCTCCCGGAGTAAAAATGCTTCAAACGGCTAAGCAAACCGGGGGTAAAAAGTGTACAAATGAGCCCGAATCATTCCCCCACAATTAGACGTTTGCTTGTCCCCAAGCAAACCATTTCCAACCTAGGTGATATCTCAACTTAACAAGATAACTTGGGCACAAATCAAAAGGCACAAAGCGGTGAATCTCAATGACTATTGGGCATCAACACATGAACCGCCTCAACAATACTGGCATCCTCCACTACCGACATTCGATTGCATCAAGAATGGGCAAACAAAAAGTTCTCACCCTATTTACAAATCAATGCATGTCTTGACCATACTACTCACCAACCACAACTAACCATGCATAGAACTCAAGTCCAAGGAACATACAACGGGGCAACATAGGTCCTCACCGGGGTAAGAGATATGAACATGCAAAACAAGAATGAATCACTCACTCTCGACCAATGGGGTCAGGACCTTTTTGGTGTAAGAGATGTGCACAATCATCAACACTAAGCCCAATCGTCTATCCACCACGGCGGCAACCTTGAAATGCTAGAGTTCACGGGACAGTTGTCATCACTAGCTTCTCTGGAGGTCTTAGACACGGGTTCAAATGAATGACAATTGTCTTGGGCATGGGGAAAATGCTTTTTGGGTGGTGGCAAACATGGCATGAGGTCCTACATCTTCAACCTAAAACCAAGGTCGATGGTCTCGACTAAGAACCTTTCCTACAAACAAAGGCCACTAACATCGGCCAAAAACCATACTTCCCTTCTTCCTAACCACTACCAATCACGAACCACATTCAAGCACACTTTTTCGGCCTATCTTGCTATTCACATTTCAAACCTAGTAGTGAAGGTGATAAAAATATTTAGGTGTTTCAATGGCTTGAGTGCCAAGAAAACCTTTCTAGAGCATACACTTAGACTTTTGTGGCCACTCTCTATTTTTATTTATCCCGTTTTATTACCTCTTTTTCGTTTCTTTTTTGCTCTTTCTTTCTTTTTCTCTTTTTTTTTCGAGGGGGGTACTAGAGAGCTAAGCACTTGACACTTCTTTTATTTAACCAACAATGCTCTCCATTTCAGAACTTCCCTCCAACACTACCTTCTCATTTCTAGCAAGAACCGTGCAAAACCACCTATGTAAAACCTCAATGGAGCTCAAAAGCGAGAACTCCGAAACACAAGGATGACTCACGCTTCGACACGAAGAAAGGATAGGTGGGGTTCTTTCTTTCAATCACCATTAATCTCAACAAGCACGAAGCTCCTAGCATTAGAACGACCCCCAAAGTCACACGGCTCAAAGGGGTTGACTAGGGGATAAAATGTTTCGGGACAATAAACTTTTGGGCGAGGAAAATCATATTCCTCCATCATACTCACTAGTGACAATGGTGAATGTTACACACCATGGCGAGAGGGATCTATCACACATGAAAAAGACGATCAACAAAAAACTCACATTACCTAGCCGCTCAATCATCTATTCCAATTTTAAAAATTTCAATGCATGGCAATTGTAATCAAGAATTAACCAAGTCAAGACATCCATTCATTCAAACACACATGAGAACTAAGCTTTTGCACAACCCTAATGCATTCTCAGTCATCATAATAGGATGCACTCGATTACATGCAACCATTCAAGATCGATGCCAAATAAGCACGAGATTCACCCACCAACCGGCCATTTTGATCATGCATTGCTTGGAGCCCTCAAATTTTTCAAATTTGTGCATACATCAAGGATCCAAGCGTTCACTCACACACACAAGCATAAGCATAAACTACCCCCCCCCCCCACACACACACACATAAGATCGACA